GTGTGAAAGCAACATCAACATATACATCGTTTCCATTTTACTTTTGTTAACTCTTTTCACCGTTACGATACTTGTGGACAAGCTTAGTTCTTTCCTTTCACTTACTAGTCAGCGCTGGGCAGGTGCATTTCCACTCGTGTAACTGTAAACGGATAATGAAAACACGTTTCTGTTCACACTTGAATTCAATTTGATGAAAACTGGCCAAAGTTTATCCAGATATGATCAGGACATGAAACAGATGATAATGCAAGGTGTAAACAGGCTCTATATGTACAACCTCCAAAATCATTACATAGATTCATTGTACCATTATTCTGTTTTTATGTTTGTTTATTTGCTTTTTCTCTTTTATTTGCTATTTCAATTTACCTACATTATAACAAAAAGAGAGTTGACTTTTACCTTTACCTTCTTTTTCTTAGCAATAAAATATGTCATGAAAAACGTATTCACATATTTCTTCTGCTTTAACTAAGTAAGGGTTCATCTATATCTTATATCACTGGTTGTTGATCCTTAAAAGAACTTCAAGAAAAATTTCCCTAGAAACCCTACCATCAGTGTTCTAGACAGTTCAACTTTGGGTCTGCTGCTCACTGTTTCAGGGCTCTAAAATTACTGGCTGTATTCTGAGAACTGCTCAGTGCTTTAAGGTTGAATCTTCAGTACATTTAAAACTGGGAAGAATCTTGTTGCGTAACAGTGGCTTAAGCTGGGGCAGCTACAGAGTTCAGTTATATGCAAGCTCTGTTGATGACTAATACTAAACGTGAACAATTTTATCTCTGTGAGATGGAATCAAGATTGCTTTGAGTTTCACCAAACCTACCCACAGCTGAGGCCTCAAGGAAAGAATCAATGCTCTAAAAACATTTTTATTAAAACATCTCACCTTTTATACTTGTGTGTTGACACAACACTATGTCTTTTTTCTGAAGTTCTCTTTTCATTAGGTGTTACAGGTCAGCAATCATCTTTCCTCGCTACATCAGCTCATTTAGCAAAGCTCGGCTGTTTTGAGTTGCTGGTGGAAAAAAATATAGATAATTATCTTTGTGAATTTCTGCACAAGCCAAGCCCTGAAGTGCCCTACCTCCAACCATCTGCTACTGGTGGGGGTAGTCTGAGGGCAGATCACTGTTTCCATGGCAACCCCCTGCCCCATTCCCTATATAGTCTGAGGGGTTCCATTGTGTCCCATTCACTTTTCTGCTTGTAACTCAGTAATATTTGGGGGCCAGGGAGACGACAGGGCAGTGATGGCCCACGCAATGGAATAAGAGATTCACAAATTACCGTTTTGCTTGTCTACCAGTGTGGAAACAACAGAGTAGGGGGGTTGTGTAATCTGCCCCACCCCCACTGCCTTGTAACCCCTGCCCCCCAAAGCACTCCCACACATACGCTGGAAAAAACAACCCGGCGGGAAGCGCACCCCTTGTCTGCTCAACCTATTCATCTGTTTTCCCGCTTTTTTAAATGACTCCTGAAGCTTTATGCCCTTTGTTTGGAAGAAGTGCTTGTTAAGAAGCCTTAACAGAACAGTAAATATGTTTTAATTCTAGATTTATAGAGCCATTTAATCAAGAAATGATCGTCCACGACGAAGGTTTTCTTTGTTGTGGGTGAATACAGGTCAGGTTCAAGCAATGTCATGGTTAAATGTGCAACTAGTTAGAAAGCAGCATCTACCATAGCACGCTGATCCTTAGTGGAAGTCTCAGCCTCTCTAATCGAGCAACTAATTCCTGAGATTCTTGTGCCAAGCTGGAGGAGCAATGAAAAAACCTCTCTGTACATAACAATAAGACTGGCTAATAAAAAATACACAGTGAATTAGGAACACAGATGGTTAAAATTAGTGCGGCTGGCACCTGACTGCAGCTCCTTTCACAACTGTGAATTTAACTATAACAATGAGGTGGATGTTTATGACATTAGTTAATTACTGTAGCATGTAAACTGGCACCCTGACTCAAGTCTGGTGCATATGCAATCAATAAACACTACCTGGCACCTGGAAAATTGCTCCAGACGTTCGTCTCTGATGCACAGAATGCGATACGGCAGATGTTTTGAATATGGAGGTCTGTTTTGGTGTCAAAACCAACGTGTGGAGCAATAAAAATACCACAAAACAGACCACATTACTTAGGTGTAGTTATCTGACATGTTCCCTCAGATATTTGAAGGGAAAAAATGTCCTAGCAAGACAAACATATCTTTCAAGGAGTCTTGGAGCTTCCATTAAATTACCAGTGGTATGCAGTAAATAGCCATTGAAACCTGAGGCAGGGAATATTAGCACAAAGACTTGGTACAAGGGTTGGCATGGAGATTGTCTCAAGCATGTGATAGCAGTATTGGAGCTGTTCAGGAAAAATCTCCTCCCCTGAGAGGTTCAGTTATGAGAGGTTCAGTTATGCCTCAGCGTGACATTCACTTTGTACCAGAGTTTCACATTTCCCCCCTTCGCTTTTGCAATGTGGAGTGAGTTTTATAATCATTCATCAACCACAGAAAAAAAAAACTTAAAGCACTGTTATGTGAGCGAAGACTGAGATTTCATCACCACAAGCCACATGAAAAAAGTGTGGTGACATCAGCACAGGAAGTTATGGAAGCGTTCAGCCACACGCACGCCTTACATTCAGCATAATCACTCAAGTTGACCACATGCTGGCTCATTGAAAAGGTGCACAGTTAAAGTGGAATTCCACTAATCTTTCAAAATTTCTGCATAATTAAAAAGTTAAAGCCATTCAGAGTTGTTTGATGTGAAATGCTCCGTTCCAGAGAAACTTACAGAGTCAGAATTGTTCACAGTGGTGGTGATAGGAACCAGACGTCTGAAGAGTTTAATGCCTCTAAAAGTTCCTTTAGAGAAAGATATGACATGACATGGTCACAGATACACAGCAAAGAGATTATTTTACAATCATTTTGAGAAGGTTTAGTCCTTAGATATGTTGAAGAGGTACTTGAGAGGTGTTGTAAGCCAAAATAGTCCCCAAAGATTTTTTTTTTCAGATTTACGACTGCTTTACCATATCAATAAAACTCAGACAATATGAATACGTTCACTTTTAGGCAGTACACAAAATTTGCATTGTGAACATCGTAACTACTGATTCCTATCACCACCACAGTAACAAAAAAACTGAGTAATGAAATGGTTAAATGAACTATTTCACATCAAACCACTCTGAATGACTTATTTCACATCTCAATTACTGCATTGTGCAGAAATTTTAAAAATAAATTGATGGAATTGCCTTTTAAAGAGAAAAAGAGATGGAATGAAATGCCGCCTGATTCCCTCTTTCTCTAAAAATAACAAAATCATAAAAAGACAACACAATTCTCAGATATAGTAGAGTACTTTTTTATAACAATAAACTGTTCCAGAAGAGGTGATTTTTGATTATTAAACTATTAAACTACCTTGTTAAACTATTAACAAGGTATTTTATAGCAACTTGTAGTTGCTAATCCAGTTAAATTCTACCACAATTACAAATGTGTGGCAATTCACATTTCTTTCCAAATGTAAAGTATGTGTGGCTACGTCTCATGAAAATGCAAATGTAAACGTGTCTTCTGTTGTTTCAGTGACTGGTAGCTGAGCCTCATCAAAAAGTCTATAGCGTCTATTCATTCAAATTCAGCCATCAACCTCACTCATACTCAATGTGTCAGTTTGTCATGACCCAGATCAGGAAAAAGTATATATTTAAAACAGTACATTCAATCAGTTTGTAAATAAATGCATGAAATGATACCAAAAACCAGCTTTGCGAGGCTGATCGGAGGGGAAAGGAAGCCCTCCACCACTTCATCTTTGGATACAAAGCAACTGAGGAAAGATCTCAAATAACAATTACTTCCGAACGCCCTCTCCAGCAGAAAGAGAGGAAGCTGTTGTTGCCACACGAGCAGTGGCCACGTGGGGACAATGTGTCAGTGTTTAAGAGCCCATAGATTAGTGTATTTACACAGTCCATGCCAGCTCCACTTGTAACAAAGCCTGTTTCATTAGAAATAGACTTGCCCTGAATTATAGTTAAATGTCCTTATCTTCTACTCTAGAGGCACCCGCAAATCTGTTTTGTACCCCACGCCTCTCCCACTTTTTTGTGTTATTACTTAATATGTGGTCTGCATGTTTTTCTATATACTACACCTGATTTTTAATCACAACACTTAAAACACTTTACACTTGAGTTTATTCTGCCCTGATACACCTGATTCAACTCATCTGGCAATAATGAAACTTTTACAAGATGAGTCAGGCGCATTAAACCAGAGCAATTGGTCAAAGATCCTGAAGCCACCACAGTAGCTGCCCCCAATTTATTCTAGCAATTTACTCAGTTGGGACCTAAGTTAGGATTAAAATAGAAAACACTTTTCACTGTATCTTAACCCATTCATATCCATTCAGTGTGGTAAGGACAAGTGCCACAGATCTTGTTCTGATTAGTCTAAAGTTGTGAAATTTAGCATAGTTATGTCTTAGATAAACATCCAACTATACCAATTTTGAACTGTTTATTACATGTAATTTTCGTACTTTTATTCACAAACTGGATTTTCTGTTGTTTAAAGGTCTATGTGATAAGATTTACTCTGACAAGTGATAAAAACTCACTTTCTAACCAAATAAATAAATAAATAAAATTGTGTTCTGGAATTTTTATATTTCAGATATGGACCTGAACAGGTTAATGATTTCCAAAGTGTCCCTGGAGTCAGCCTGATGATTGAAACTGCATCACAAAAATCACTACGTTTGACTGTTTAAGTTTAAAGTTTACACAATTAATCAACAACACAAAATGTGAGTATGGAGAACAGACACACAAAGATAATTCACTGAGTCATTAAATAAGCTTGAATCAGTGATGTGCCAGAGGAGAATGAAGACTGGGCTTTCAGTGTTGGGGCCCTGCAGGGGGGGGTGGGGTGTCAGAGAGGAGGAGGAGAAGGAGGAGAAGGAGGAGGAGAAGACGGGATTTCGGGAGGCTCTTTGTCCACACGCTCTTTTTAGCACCCCGTCAGAGTGGGGAAAAGAAGACGCCAGTTATCTGAATGGGTTCATAAGGAGTGAAGCTTTCGTCTGAAGATTTAAAACATGTGGTGATCCTTTATAACCTTGCCTCTAAGCAAAAAACAAACGAGCGGAGTGGAAGTCAACTCGCAGCGGTACGTTGTTTGTTTCTTTCTTTAACGTTACGTTACGCAAAACGTCCCCAGTCGTTTTGGCTTAGCTTAGCGTTAACTTACCAGTTACGTTAACGTTCACAGCCTAGACATTTTAACCACAGGATTTGTTTGATAGGTATGTATTTGTTTAGCTAGTCTAAGAATTTATCTCTGAGAACATCCAACAATTTTGCTGAGTTTAAAGGGAGACTTTCACAGAGCTGGTCGGTGCAGTTATTCCCGCCTCTGTAGGAGAACAATAGTAACCTAACTGGCTAACTTGAAATCATCTGCTTTCACGACATTTCGGGTTCAGCTTTAAGGGGTTTTGGGGTGCTTTTCCTTTTACAACGACCGTGGCTCACCCGAACCCAGCACGTTCAAATTTTAATGCCATTAACGGCTGAATTAAGTAACGTTAGCTAACTTTGCGACTGACCGTTGGGGATGAAATGAACGTTAATGTCGTTAGCTAGCTAGACAGGGCTGAAGTTGGTTTGCCACTCGCCTGCTGCTTATTCGAATTTTCCGTCCCACCTTAAATGGTGCAGCAGTTACGTTCTGGCCGCCGTACAAGCATCAGAATGTTTCGTCAGAATTTACGCCATTTAAGGTGGAACGGAAAATTTGAGTAAGAAGCTAACTTCAGCCTCGTTGTGGTCGGTCAGACTGAGACCGAGGCGACACGTTGCTCGCGCCACCCAGGCGCGCGTTCACTCCAAACGGTGGAAAAAAAACACACCGAAGCTGAAGTTTCGAGAACAAAGATTTATATGTCTTCGAGGTGGTAAAATACAAATTGGAGCGGTTTTCCCAGCGACATTTCCCATCTCTTAGCTGTAATATTCGTTAGCCCCCAAAACTAGACAGGAATCCGTTCGGTTTTGTTTTTCTGTCTGAACCGTCTTCCACTGGTAGCTAAGTTAGCACCACCACATTGAAAAAACGTTACTGCTCATCTGTGTCCGAACTTGCTCAGCTATCTCGTTACATCCTCAGCATTTCTTAGTGCTCGCCCATGTGCTTGTGCTCTTCCCAGTTTTACTAACTGCCTTGCTGTTGTGACAACGGTAGGTAGGCCATGTGGTGTCTATTGTCAGTGGTTGTTTTTTCCGGCTGAAAGGCGGTTATTACTTTTCCAGGGAGGTCTACAGAAGAGAGGCGAGGAACTGAGGCTCAGTTAGAAGTCTCAAACCTGTGACACATACTAGGCCCTTGTGGAGGCCTGTTCGTCCAGAGTCACCTTAGCGTTTTGCTCTGTTTTGTTACCTAGAAGGCTTTTCCAGCTTCTGTGCGAGCTCAACGTCCTCATATTCTGTCTCTGAGGTAAAGGGGTTTGGGCTGGAACCTTAACTACTCTCCCAGATGTCTCTCCCACAAAGCTGTTCTGTTCCTGTGCGGTTTAATGCTTACACTCATGGATTGTAATGGTCGCCCTGCTTGACTCTTCTGGACTCCTGTAAGGAAGCAGTAGGGGTTTTCAGAGTGGGGCTCAATGTCAGGAACGTCTCAGAACAGTGAATGATCAGGCTTCAAAATAGATTGAGATTCAGAATAGTTCTCCCTAAACCTTCAGATTGCTAGAGGTGGGCAATATGGCAGAAATGTGTTATTATAATACTTCTATAAGTTTTCCTGTTGCATACTACACTGCACTAAATCCAATTAAACAGGACTTATTATGCTCTTATTGTAGCCGAACGTGCTGTTGGGATTTTGGGAAATCTGACAATCTATATACTTGGAAAAGCATATAGTGACAATTTATCATGATGGTGATAAATATTGTCATATTGCCAAGCATTTATTTGTAGAGGGTTATAAAGTTACAAATGCAGTAAAATAAATAAAATGCATACATTTAGGAAAAGTAGCTTGACGTCATCAAACTGTTCTGCTCTTCTGGAGTAAAATAAATTTTTCTTGTTTTGGTTTTGAAAATCTTAGTGAAAACCTTGCCTGTTTCTTTTTATATGCACATCTGTTTTGATTGATAGTGGGTTTAACAAGTTGATGTCTGCTTATAAGTTGCTTTCTTGGTCACTGTGGGTTTTTTTGGACATTTTCAGGTCCCAGTTTTGTCCATGAAAGCCTGTAAACACCATCCATCTCTTTGTTAAAGGAAATTAATAGTCCCCCCCCCATTTCTTTGAGGTATTCAGGGTAAAGTACCAGCAGTTTGTAGTAAGATGGTCCATCTGCAAGCAAGGTGCATCAGTAGAGGACTTTTAGGAGCTGAGAGACTGGATTGGCCTGGAGTTATGTGGAAGTGGAGGGCCGGATGGGCACCAGCTGTGGGTGTAGTTGCATGTCACAACTAGTTCATTGTGCTGCTGGATTCCAAACGGCTGTGTCCCTTTTGCGTGAAGTACAAATTGTGGTGATTTGGTGCCAGTTTCAGAGGACAGCATGACTTTTACTGTGCAAACACAGTATCCATTAAATCCTGCTGCCTCACACTCTCTGGCTGCAGTTATACTATTATCATCACATTGCCTGTCGTTATTTAACTTGGGTGCCCCCCACAACAAACACAGTCATGCTTTCATCCTTATTTTACTGTATGCTAAATGGCTTTCAAGTAAGTATTTGTAGTGCAGAAATTAAAAGCCTGTTCTTGAAGTAAGCTAAGTCTTGTGGTAAGTACGCCTTCCCTGGGCTTCTGGGCTTATGTTGACATGCTGCAACTCGCTCTGGGAGGGGATGGTATTCCTCCATCATGGATATTCTAGATACTGGCACAAATTGAAAGCTGTGGGCCACAGAGTGTTGTAGGTCAAGTGGAACCACTGAAAGATATTTGTTAAGAAAAAGGCTTGAGAATCACTATGTTTGCTTTGGGCGGTTAAGGTGGACCTATAGAGACTGTCTGTTTGTTACAAGCACAGTTCAAACAGCTTCTGGGGAAACAGTCTTTCTCCCCCCCTTCTTTCTTTCTGAGAAACTGTTTGCTTGGTGACTCTGGGAAGGACCTTCTCACTCCTTTGCAAGCCAGCTCAGTTCTTTCAGTATGTCAACACACTTTTAAACTGGTTGGCTGTTTTGAACGTATTCTAGTAAGTAGGTGCTAACCCACATTGGTCAGAAGGCACTAGCACACCAAATTCCTCAGGCAAAGGGCATTTTTATACTTTGATGTGACCGTTTCTTGAAGAATGTCTTTTAAATCCGTTGTATTTGAAGTTTACCAACTTCCTAGGTGTCGTTACAGAAGCTAGGCTACAGAAGATTTTGTCCTGCTATGTACAACTTTTTAAAAGCTTTGTTTATTATTTTCAGTGCAAATAAAAATAAAGAGTAAAACACAGTTTTAAGCCAGTTTTTACCTAATAATCTGTAAATCTTAATTTTTGTCAGGAAGGGATTGTCCGCACTTATAAGTCTAGACATGTTTAATGCAATCATCAAGACTGATGATTATGACTGCTTCATTTTCTGTCCTGTTAGTAAATCTGAATATTTTTCAGTGTTGCTGTTGCTCCATCTAGTGGGTGAAACATGGACAAGCATTTAATGCCTTCTGACTTTCAACTATCCAAAATACCTTTACCTCTAAACTAATGTTTTGGAAAGGACAGAACTTCATATGTTGACACAATGATAAGTGAATTACATTACTGTTCCTCAGTACAGAGAAGCAGTAACAGCGAAAAGCACCACATCCTATAAAGTACTTTGTACTTTCTCACTGTCTGGGGGCAACCCACCCAAAACCTTTAAAACTTTCACATGCAGATGAAAACATACATGAGTGAAAAACGTTATTTGACAGCTCTGCAGTACCTCAGTGTTTTCCGCACATAGGCTTTACTTGGCTGGCCCCTCATGTGTATTTTGTCCCATTTTAACAATTTCTGAAATTATTAGACAGCAGTAATATTTCTGTGGTTCAGTGCAGCATTCATTAAAAAAAAACCTTTTAATTCCAAATTATACATGACTTATTTGAAAACACCAATAAGTGTGCATGAATCATCTACACTAGCCAAATAAATGTTGAATGTTATTGCTTGGCTGTTTTCTTTTGCTGTAAAACGGTATTGGCTGTTGAGTTTATTTGTACTCTTTGTGGGTTTATGGGTTGTCGTCCAATAAACGCTAAACTCGGATATGTACAAACATTGTTTTGCCTCTGAATCTATTCCAACACCATTTTCCACCATTAATCTTAATTTCTCATGTTTTCTTTTGCAGTACTGAGAAGCGTGTTGTAGCAGTAATATCATGAGCTGGAGTTTCCTTACACGGCTTCTGGAGGAGATCTCCAACCACTCCACCTTCGTGGGGAAGATCTGGCTCACACTGCTCATCGTGTTCCGCATTGTCTTGACTGTGGTTGGTGGCGAGTCCATCTACTATGATGAACAGAGTAAATTTGTGTGTAACACAGGGCAACCTGGTTGTGAGAATGTGTGCTATGACGCATTTGCACCGCTCTCGCATGTCAGGTTCTGGGTCTTTCAGATCATCATGATCTCTACCCCCACCATCATGTACCTGGGCTTTGCCATGCACAAGATCGCTCGCATGGAGGATGATGAGTACAGGCCACGGTCACGCAAGCGCATGCCCATGATCAACCGTGGTGCCAACCGCGACTACGAGGAGGCGGAGGACAATGGTGAGGAGGACCCCATGATATGCGAGGAGATCGAGCCTGAGAAGGAAAAGGAGCCAGAGAAGCCAACAAAGAAGCATGATGGGCGGCGGCGCATCAAACGTGACGGTCTAATGAAGGTCTACGTGTTCCAGCTGTTTTCCCGTGTTGCCTTTGAGGTGGCCTTCCTTTTTGGCCAGTACGTTCTGTATGGCTTTGAGGTGGCCCCCTCATATGTTTGCACAAGGAGCCCCTGCCCCCACACTGTAGACTGCTTCGTCTCCCGTCCCACCGAGAAGACCATCTTCCTGATGATCATGTATGCCGTGAGCTCGCTCTGTCTGTTTCTCACTGTGCTTGAGATCCTCCACCTGGGCATTAGCGGCATCCGTGATGCTTTCCGCAGTCGGGCACGCCGCCACCACCATGTGCCCACGACTGGCCAGAGGCCCGTGATGTGCAGTCGTGTCCCAACAGCGCCCCCTGGTTACCACACTGCCTTGAAAAAGGACAACACGGGGAAACTTGCCATGGGCATGAAGCCTGACTACAACCTGGGTGACTCAGGGCGTGAGTCGTTTGGCGACGAGACATCCTCCCGTGAGCTGGAGCGGCTGCGTAGGCACTTAAAGCTGGCCCAGCAGCATCTGGACCTGGCCTACCAGAGTGAGGAGGGCAGTCCTTCACGCAGCAGCAGTCCGGAGTCCAATGGCACTGCTGTTGAACAGAACAGACTCAACTTTGAGAAGCAGGAGAAGCAGGGAAGCGCTTGTGAGAAAGGTAAAACTTACTTTGAAATGTATTGGAAGCTGTGCTCGAGATTATGCAAGTAATGTCCCACATTGTACCCGATGTATGTTGCAAAGTTTGTAGGTCTTACCCTGACAGGACAGGCTTAAACCAGATCAGTGCTGTTTTGCTTTTATAGAGAAGTATACTATAACTATATATCAGTAAGTTGTCATTAAACGTACCTCATCTCACCTCGTCTCACACTTAGGAGCAGAAAATATCTTAATTATTTTTAATATTTTTAGTATCACCCAGGCCTGTATGAGTGTCCCAGATTAATAGTGTCTTGTCATCCCAGGGACATTAAATATAGTGCAGTGTAAAACTGTTTTGGGATGATTCAGGGACAAGTAACTCAATTCACATTTTTTTAGCATCTTTTCCCTTTTGAATATGGACAATTTAAGGCTGTCAGACATTTAAATAAGATTTTCTTACTTTGTTGGAGTTTTAGTCTCAAGTTTTCAAATATGGTGGTACAGACTAGTCCAATGCTTGTTGTGTACAGTGATTTAATGATTAACCCTTTTATGTTTCAGGGCATAATGATGGTATTGCTATATTGTTATTCTAAAGGTAGTAATGATTTATTGCAAGAAAAACAGAACAAATCTAAGTTCATAGAAACTTGTTTTGCATTTCAAAAATGCAGTTCAGTCCAAGGAATAAAGTGTATTGTATGTATGCTGTATGCACATTAATCTGTTTATGGACTATAGATGTATTTGTGTGTGTGTACATGCACATGTGTATCAAGCATGTATTGTTTGTATTGCCATCTGATTTGGGTCATTTTTGGATATAGTAATACAAAAGTTAGAAAAAGACAACAAAGCACTGCACTATTTTGGACTGTCAGTTTTTTCTTCAGGATGGTTGTGGAAAAAGTTAGTCTGGAGACCTGATGAACAATATTAGTTTGAGTTAATGGTACAGAAGTCACACATGCCATCCCATTTTCACTCTCTCTCGCTCTCTCTAATGATAGATTTTGTTGTTAAGAATGATTTGATCGCCCTAATCTGTTCAAAACACTAGGTCCCTTTGCCTTATTGGGGAAAGTTGGGGGAAAAGTTCATGTTGAACCTCATCTTATACATTTCTTTCTTGTTTTCTTTCTTTATTCACATGAATTGTCAGTGAATGTAATTTTCACTGTCTCTTCTCTTTCTCTTAGGTATCAGAGCCTGAATCTGAGATTTGCTTCTGCTTTCTTGCCTGCCAAGCCACCGTTCCATGGTTAAGGTTGGTGGTCTAAGGAAATGGATATGGACATTCTTGAGTGTTTTTTGTAGAATTTTTTTTTTTGTAAAGCAATATGACACTCTTCGTGTGAGCACACTGGTGGACTGTAAGAACATTCTGTACAGTATTATAACAAGAGAGTGTCCATCTCTGAACGTTTCAGCAGCCAGTTATACTTGAGGGCCAGTCTGCCTAACATTCCAAAGTACCTGAGAGCAAATGAAACCTTTCCTCTCTGGAGGTGACTGAGTAGGGTGTTTTTGTTCTTGTTTGTTTTTTGTTTTTTTCTGTGTGTGTATGTGTCTGTCATAGGGAAACATCAGTTTCTTCCATATGTTTAACACACTTCTTATGAAGTGCCAAGGTTGCATCTCAAAAATGCCTTAAATTTTAACTGGAGTTTACATATATGTTTTTTGTCATTCCAAAAATAAAAGGATGAGCCAGTGTAAAACCATGTTAGACTTTTTGGTTAGCCTAAGTACATATATAGGACAAGTAGGTTTTGTGTTTAGTAGAGAACTGTAATTAGTACTTGCATGTATCTGTGAACCAGTGTCAGCCAAGGGCTTCTTATTGTCAAAGATGGAACGTTCTGTTACTCAGTTTTGATTTGTAGACTTTGGGTGGGGAAGGTTGATTTCTTCCAGTAGCATCAACCAAGGGCCTGAGTTTAGAGTTCATAAGAGGGTCTTCTGGTCTTGGATCTGGTTTATTGATTGAATTGTAATTGGACTTCTGTAGTAAAGTGCATCTTGGAGAAAGATTTAAAATCGAACAATGTCTCGATATCGATGTGATCAAGTCAACGATGATCCAGCACTGTCGTTTACATACGATCCCAGACCAAAATCACTGTTTGAGATGTTATTGAGAGGCGTCCAAATGGCCCCAGTTCCAGTATTTGAAATATCTAATCCAATCCATTCCGTTCATATTTCACATTCTGAGCTGATTTATTGATGTTGCACAACAAACCCAGTCATAGGATTCAGTTCCATTTTGGGTTTATGCGTTGAGAAATACATGTGTGTTTCTTAGATTTCTCTGGATGAACTGGAAGCCAATGTGGTTGGAGTGGAAGTTTAATACACAGCAGTGTGCTGCGCAGGCCTGTAGTAGCAGGCAATGTGCTAATTCTGTCTCAGTCTCTTTGACTCAGCTGTGCTGTTCTGGAATATCAAAGCCACTTTTTGGTGCCTTTTGTCTGAATGATCAAAACAATGAAAACCTGGAAAATGCTTGAATACTTGTGAATCTTAATTGCTGATCTACAAGGAAGCTTTTGATAGTTTCTTCCATCTTGTGTGAGATGTGTATATGGGGATTTTAAGAGCGTTGCTTTATTGTAGCAAGGACGAAAAGGCTTCTCTGTTAAGTACAAAAGGTTCACATACTTTCTTTTTTTTTCTTTTTGTTTTTGTTTTGGGTGTTTTTGTTTTTTTTTTAATTAATGATTTTTGTTCACTGCTTTTCACAATGTCTCTTTAGCCTGATGTGGATTCGTCTGGCTTTTGTCATTCTGTGTTGTGGTGCAGACAGCTGTGTACCAGCTTATTGGTTCTGACGGTTGGAGGTGCAAGTCTCAAGCAAGGTTGGTTTTTTTTTGTTTTTTTGTTTTTTTTTTTTCCCCTATTGGAATGCATATGTCTTGAATTGTTGTGGATATCTTATTGTCTTTTTTTTTTTCTCAGCTGTCATTATTGTTGCTTCTCTATGCAAACTGAGTCAAGGTGCAGATTGAGCCTAGTCTAAAACATGCATGCCAAACTGGGTTTCTTCCAGGTCACAGCTCTGCAGACATTAGCATTTTCCCTGGTCTAATGCTCTGAATCAGGTGTTTGAGGCAGAACACTGAACTCTGTGGCCTTCAGCGACTGAAATCTGACACATGGTCTTGAAGAATCCCTGTAGTCGGCACAACTTGGTCTAAGCTTAGTTTGTGTACAGAAAACACCCTAAAGTAATGGTTCATAATGGTTTGTATGTGGCAAAATGCATTTCACTCCTGTATTGCTTCAGCATTAATTCAGAGGAAAGTTCTGCAGTGTCATCCCAGTCATCTCAAGAGTGTTTTCTTTGTTTTTTTTGTTTTTTTAACTTTATATTCTATGGTTTTTATACTTTTTGTACAAATAGTATTTTTGTGCAAGTTAAATACAAAATAAAACTTTGAAATTCAGTTTTGGAATGTAGTTTTTTCATTCCTTGTTGTTTATGTAAAACATCTGTATTTTCTTTGTTTCTGTTTGTCCCCTGGGCTCCACTTACAGCATTTTGTGGGTTTATGAACCAAAAACAGGCATAATTCATTTTACATTACTGCTTTTCAACCTTTTTATCCATTAAGCAGGCTGTTTGTGTCATTTGCTAGTTCAGGAGCCTCCTATATGAGGTTGAATTTAGGTCTGCTATTACTAGTCCACACGGAAATGTTATAATTTGAGGTAATGTGATAAAATCTGAATCTAATATTTAACTGGTGTTTACAGTGCCTTTTAAGGATCGTAACCCTTCCAAAATCTCAAATCCACTCCTCCATTGTGTATTCAGAGGTTGTTTTGCTTTGAGTTAAGTTTAGGACATGGCAAACAGGTGGGAGGATGTCTTGTCAGCAAAAAACAAGAAGGCATCAGCGTTACAGTGGTTCTTAGTCATCACTCTTCACGTTTTCAAAACATTTTTTCATCACTGCATATTAACCCAAACTGATGTCTAAGTGAAAACATTTTTTACCAATTTAATTTAAAACATTTGTTATAAGTGTGCTTACCTGTTATCTCTTAACCTTCAAATTGAGCTCATTTGCATCCTGTTCCTTTTGCTCATCTCTGAAATGTCTAGAACATGATCCACCTTTTGACAGTCAGTTGATTTGGACAGTATTCAGGAAAAGTACACACCTGACCATGGACAGTGCTGCAGTTCACAATGCATATCAAAGCAAGAACCTCCAAGGAACTTCACTGGCATGGTTTTGTGACGAGTCTTCTGAATGTCTCTGAGTGGCCCACTTCAGCCCCACTGGGAATCGAGGGATGGGGGTGGATTGTGGTTCACAGGATCTGGAAAGAAGAATACTAAAAAAAAAAAAATAAATAAATAAAATTTATGTACTGTCTTATGCAAAACTTTGCACACCACCTGTCAAATTACAGGTTTTGTTGATTTTCTGGTTTTGTTGATCCTGTACAGGGAACAAACTTGAAAATGGCATTTTCCGCTAATTTTAGTGCACAACTTCTATTTGGTTTCTAATTTAAGGAAATATAAAGCATGCCATGACTATACAGGTTTAATGTTTTTCCCCTCAATCTGTTAAAATCTGCAAATAAGCAGTAATTGTGCATTAAATGTGCAGAACTGTGATGTATGTAGAGGATATGTACTTAATTTCACTTAGAAAATCAACAAAATGTTGTTTGACCAGTGGTGCCCAAACCTTTGCATATGACAGTAATCCAACACTCCATTTATCCCCAACCCCATCCCACGGGTTCAGTAAATCAACAAAAAACAAAAAAAGATACGTTTACTTTCCCCATTTGAATGACATGATCCGAAGTTGTTTAGTGCATTAATTAAGTGTGGTTGTGTAAGCCAAAGCAAGCAAAGATGGTTTTCTAGGGTCATTTGCAGGACAAATGTTTTTATAGTGGCTACAGACACAAGTTGTCAAACAGACTGTACAATGAGAGAAGTGCTTAGTAAAGAATCAAAGATATCGTTTACCACATATGTGTGCCATAAAAAAAATGATTGCTTGTCTTTTTGGAGTAAAGTGTTTTGATAAGATTAAGTGTAGTAATAAAGTGCACAGTTTACTAGGTGTCAATACTTTGTCTTGTGTAAATGACAACAGTGAAAAACTGTTCTGGTTGCATTAATAAAGTGAGATGAGCATCATTTATATTATTTAGACATGCATGTAACAAGAATATATGTAGTTATGTTTCATTCTTTTGTATTTGTTCAATATGTTGATAGTTTTATCAAACTTACGGCCTTATCAACAATTTCCGTGTATCTAAGTTCATAGTCTATCTGCTGTTATCAGTCTGTCTTCAGTAAAGAGCTCTGCATGGTGTATATTGTTGTATTGTATGATTATGAAATAGATAAGCTGTATCTGCCTCCAAGCTTCGGGAGGGCATGTATAAAGGGCTCTGAGAGGTTTCTTGTGACAAACATATCCATGGCAAAGATGAAGGACTTGGGGAAAATTCTCTTTCTTTTGAGCGTCTGTTGGAGCTGTAGTCATGGGGAACATTCACAGGACTTTATGCTCTTAGCAGGTCCATTAACCAACCAATTCATCAAGGATTTGAAAACAAACCCTTTTGCCAGTCAGACTTTGCCGTCAGGGGCTTTAGATGCTGACGATGTCTTTGACTGCAGAGAGCATCTTCCAGCAGAGGCCAGAGACTACTTCCAGTACCTTCAGAGCAGAGGGGTGACCCATTTCAAAGTTTCTCTGTCCTGGTTAAACATCCTTCCCACAGGTGAGTCCAGCCAGCCCCATGAAGACACAGTGGCCTGCTACAGGAACCTTGTGAAGGAGCTGACAGAGTCAGGCATTGAGCCTTTGCTGGAGCTCCATCGCTCCACATTACCAGAAGGCCTTAGAAGCAGATATGGAGGCTGGGAGAACCCAGTCATGGGACAGGTCTTTCAAGACTATGCAGGTTTTATCTTCACCAAGTTCGGAGACCTGGTCAACTCGTACATCACATTTAGCCACTTACATGAGCTCAGAGGTTCTTCACAGTTTCAACATGCTTTCCAGTCCCATGTAGATGTGTATAAACTCTACCATCACATGTTTAAAGGTAAGATAACAATGCATTTCTCCATAAATGTTGCCCAATGATCAAGTTTATCAACTTCAGTGTTGTTTAGCTGAGATTTAAACCATGCCCAAAATATTCATGGTTGAAAAGTCATATTATTTCATCTGTAAAACATTATGCACTATTTTAAGTGCATGAAGACATCTTAAGTGATGTTTGCACACTTTATATCCAAAAGTATCCAGACATGCATTTTAATGAGTGAATTCAGCTGCTTTGGCGTTTACAAAAGTGAACCCATTGCTGCCACAGACAGTCAAAATTGCCTAATTGCCCTAGCAAAGCATTGGAAATACACTGTTAGAAATAAAGGTACTGTGCAGGTACATTTCTCGTTCATCAAGGTACAAACAATTTAAATGTTGGTACAAGTGTGTACCTTACATAAGTTTTTCCCAGAGGAAAAGTACTTATTTGTACCTTTTCGAAACCTCATGTTTTAAAACAGAACAATAAAAAAAAAAAGACTGGAGACGAGACGGGGTGTGTGGAGTCAATTCAACTTAGAAAACATGATTTCAATGGATTTTGGTACAATTATGTTTCCTGACCAAAGGTACTGAGATGTACCCTTGAGGGTACCACCCCAGTGACAGGTGCATACCTTTTTTCTGAGAGTGTAGAATGGGACACTCTGCACATGAGCCTAAGGTAATGGCAAGTGTCAACTACAGCAGTGGTTCTCAAACTTGTCCTCAAGGATCTTCAGACGGTCCTAACCTGATCTAACCTAACTTGGATATACCGCAAAAATGTGGACTATCTGGGGGACCCTGAGGACCAGGTTGAGAACCTCTGAGATAGGTGGTTATAAAGCTTCCCCAGCACTACCCTGTGGAGAAGTAGAACTGCATTCTGGAGAACCCTCCAATACCTGTATTAGTTGAAGTGGCATTTATGGTCCAGAACTAATTATCTAACATCAGTAGGTGACCTCACTAATGCTTTCAACTGCAATCAAATCCTCACAGCAATGTCTCAACATCTGGTGTAATGTCTTCTCAGAAGAGCAGAGGCTGTTACTGCAGCAAAGGGGGAGCAAACTCCCTATTAATACCTTTGATTTCAGAAGAAAAAGTTGGATGTACAGGTCTCTGCAAACTTTTGGACACATGGTGTAAGATGCAAAGAAATAGGAGGCTCAAATAAAAGATGTAGAAAAGGCAGCTGCTGCTGTATTCATGAAGATTTAATACGTAGATGACATCTGCAAGGTCTTTTTTCAGCAGAATGTCTTAAAATTGTCTGCTATTTTGCAGAACTTGTTAGACTCTTTAAATAAAATTGGCCTAGAAGTATCCAGGAGTTATATTGGGTCATGGAAAGCTGGGCTTGACAAACATAATTGTGACACTGCATAGAACAACCTTATAATTTATACAGTCTTAATTAACTCCATGCTAATCCATATAAGGAGTAAAGATGGGGTAAGAAGCATGCAAACAACCTGACATTCCAACCTGGTGCTCCATGGCATTTTCAGACACATAAAATAATGTAACAAACAGGTGGACTGTTAATACTGTCTGTTACATTACATATACCATTTAGACCTCTAACTCCTGATAAGAAGTCCAATCTCTTGATTCCTAATTTCTAATTGCTGGTGAATCACTTAATTGATCATAGTTTAGCAGAGTGATAGAGTACATTATTTACAGGAGGCACAGCTACAGGTAGTGTGCGCTCCTTCATCTTCTTTTTTAATTAAGCTCTCTTGGCACGACCTTTACTGCTCCATTTGCTTGTTTAGTCATTGCGGATAGTGCAGCTGTTTTTAAGGAATGAGCTAAGTAATATGGGACGTTTAGGAGATTATCTTTCTCACCACACCCTTCTATTTCTATTCAGCCTCACCCTCATTTTGCACATAGTGTTCATGATTGCACTTGCATGAAAGTAAGGCTTGGATACACCCTCATGACGTGCCATATAGCAGCAACAGCAATAGAGGCAAAACTGGACACTCTGATTCTTTACGATAGAACCCACAGAATACAACATCATGAAAAACACTCAGGCAAGCAATATTGGTAGATGAGTATGCTGACGAGATGGTCCCCAGGTCCCTTTTGTCATTTGTGACTCAAAAACAATATATCACTAGTATTCTGTTCTTCACAATGTTATCTGAAAGAGTGTGCGCTCAGTTTTACAATGGTTGCATCATACTAGTATTGTTCTTAGGCATTACATGCTAAATAAGTTAAATGTAATGTTTTAATACATTTAACTGGACATTTCTGCTATGAAACATCTTAAATTGATGCAAGACTGTAAGGACAGTAGTAGGTCAGTTAAAAAGACTCGGTGACCGTCTTGATTTTTATCTTCAATGTAATATCTATAATATGCTGTAATGTTTGCTTTTGTATAAATATATTGTACTACAAGCCTAGCAGTTATGATAGATAACTATTTTTTCAGATGGCCGTGTGTCCCTTGGAATGAGAGCCAGTGATGTCGCCAGTCTGTCCCAAACAGAACCCATGTACGCGGTAAGAGTTTGGGACTGGCCCGAATATCCCCACACAAAAATGCAATATATAAAAAAATATATGCAGCACTATGTAAACATTTTAGGTACTTGAGAAAATTACACTTACAAACTATTTTTCTGGTCTTTAAGCATCTCACACACACATTTTCTAAACCATCTGGGTCATGGGGGGAGCTGGAGCCTATCCCAGCAGTCATTGGGCGGTAGGCAGGATATACCCTAGACAGGTCGCCAGTCCATCGCAGGGCAGACACTGTAAGCATCAATTTTCTTTTAATAATAATAATAATAATAATAACAATGATCATCTTTATTTATATAGTACTTTTCATGCCAGTGGCAGCTCAAAGTGCTTTACAGACAGGTGATAAAGCTTAAAGAGGAACTCGATTTTGCAAAATTACTTGATCATTCAATGACTTACATGTGAACACAATCATTCAGAGTTGTTCGGTGTGAAACGTGTCTTTCTAGAGAAATTTGCAGAGTCAGAATTGTTCACTATTATAGTACTATGAACCAGACATCCGACACTTTAAATGGCTCTAAAAAATCCCATTAAGTTAATACACAGAGGGGTTATAAATGAATTGCTTGATACCTGAGATATTGTTTTGTGATAGTTTTGTTATAAAGTTTCAGCCCAAAGCGTATTTTTACTATAAACTGTTACTTCAGGATTACTTCCGTGTTTTCTTTGGTGTCAACAACAAACTACTTGCTACTCCTCTTACCAGTCCATGGGGTAGGATAGCAAGGTAGATAGTTTTTGTTAGTTTTTTTTGTTTTGTTTTTTTTGGACGGCCTACTTTAGACGGTCTGTTGTAAGCTAGGAATGACATATGTTCGGTGGCTAATGACAACTAATGTATTTCACTCATGAACGTTTCTCACCTTGATTCCAGTTTCTGCTGGAGTGAAACTGCGGGTGTGTAAATCTGCGGTTTAGCAGTCAGACCCTTCTCCAAAACGTGTGCCTGGCAGGGGGGCAAATGCAGGGCATTGTAAGGAAAAAATAGTACCCAACAAAAACATATTTTTTTTTAATTCAGCACTACTTTACCATTATCAGCGTGACATATTAAAATGCACAAGACACATGCACGCACAAATTCACTGGTCATTTTGGACAGCAAATAAAATGGTGATATTTGTAGTGTAGACATAACAACGTCTGGTTCCTAGTACTATAATGGTGTACTTTGACATGGTAAATTTCTCTAGAAAGGTGCATTTCACACCAAACCACTCTGAATGATTTTGTTTACATCTAAACCATTAAATAATTACTTAATTTCTCAAAATCGATTGAGTTCCCCATTAAAAGTAAATTATAAACAGGAAATTATGAGTACCATCATATAATAAAAAACAGATCAGATTAAAAAGATAAATACCAAGAGACGTAGAGTTTTAATTAAATGCTAAGTTAAAGAGATATGTTTTTAAATGTTTCTTAAAAGTGTGCCCTGAGCTTGACTGTCTAATAAAAGGTGGAATTAAGTTCCACATTTTAGAAGCACAATAACCAAAAGAGGCCTCTCTACATTTTCAGCATGTTACAGAAAGTCTTTGCAGGAGGTTTTTGCAGAAGGCCAGTATCTGCAGATCTAAGATCACATGCTGGAACATAAACAGAAAGACAGTCTGTGATGTAAGTGGGTGCTAGGTCATTTAGAACCTTAAAACTAGTAGTAGAACTGTAAAATCTTCTTATAAAGCAGCTTTCTCTGAGTTTTAGTACCAAGGATCAGTATTTCAGTTTTTTCATGATTTAGTTGTAAAACATTTTGTGGCATCCCCTGATAAATATTTGACGCAGAGCTTCGTTATCAGAAGGAATGGAAATGTATAACTGTGTGTTGTTAACATAGCTATTAAATTGATATAATGTTTCCTAATGGTATCACCTAGAGGTGACATGTACAAAGAGAAAAGCAAAGGCCCTAAAACTGAACCTTGTGGTGAATGATTTCCCAGTGAAACCATGAACTGTCTGTTAAATATATATGATATGATGACTTGCGCTGAGCCTGCGGTCATTTACAGCACCAGCCAATGCTGTCTCAGTACTTGATATTAGATACACATTTAATTGTTTGAAAACATTTTTTTCTACGATTTTAAAAAGGAAGGTTTGGAAATTATTTAGTATGGAAGGATCCATGTTACTCTTTTTTAGTAGAGGCTTCTCCAAAGCAGTTTTAAAAGCATCTGGAAAAGCACCTGTTGACAGAGAACAGTTTACAATAGGTAAAACATCATATTGAACATAATCAAAAACCATCTTAATAAGAAAAGTAGGAATAGGGTCAAGATCACATGTGGATAAACTTAATTTGTTTATAACAGTTGTAAGCTCCTAATAATTGATAGCAGAGAAAGATGTCATTACTGATGTAGGTGGCTTATCAGGAAGGTTATAGGAGCTTGTTTCAGTTGATTAAGCTATTCTCTGTCTTATCAGGTCTACTTTATTTTGAAAATGAACTGCAAACTCTTTGTAAACTTTGGAAGATAAATAAACATGAGACACACTAGCAGAAAAGCTGGCATCAATTAGTCGGTCTACGGTCTGTCTATTTATGATAAAAACACTGATATTACAATAAATGTAAATAACTATTTGTAGTCATAATCCAATCCTAGTTAGCTAATCAACCCTTCGTTAAACTGAATCAGTTGTGTTGGTGATGAAATTTGACAAATCCATATAGATCCTACAGTCACTTTATACAAATGGGATCTGCCACAAGCTCTGCAGGACCATGGAGATTGGACCAGTGACTGTATTGTGAAAGCACTGAAAGAGTTTGCAGAATTCTGTTTCTCCAGATATGGGCGCAAAGTGAAGGTCTGGAACACTTTGGGCAGTCCCTGTTTTTTTTTTAGTAACTTTGGATATGGTATAGGGAACATCCTGCAGATATTAAGGGTGAAATTTAACCCCTTAAATGGCCAAACTTTTATTAAACACATCTGTAACCTGAGAATACCTCAGCCAGTCCATGTAGTTACTGAATAATAAGCTTTAGTATTAAGTATCAAGGAGAATTCTGGAACTAAACTGTGTTCTTCAAACTAACTCACAAGATTTCAACTACTTTTTTGAAAACAAGAAATTCTTATTATTTTGTACTGTATTTATGTTTATTAACAACTATATCTAATGCTGTATGGTGTTTTACAAGCATACTGTTATTATTACAATAAAATGTTTTAAATAATGTGCTTAGGTGCCTTAGTATTGTTTTTGAACTTATTTACAATTTTGAAGTATATTGAATTCTATAGGTTGGAATATGTTTTTCTATGGGTCAGCTGTCTAACTGTATTTGTTATGTACACACATCAGTTATACCCTTCTTATTTTCTGCTCAGGAATATATTGATTTCTTGTCTGTGCACATGGAGTATGACTGCACTACCAAAACAAGTCTGACGAAGGCAGTAACAGAAATGCAGGTAATTCACAATTGTGTCCACTTTCCAAACTTCTGTAGCCAACTTTTAAAGAATATTACCTTTAGTAATGTAACACAACGTCAAGGCAAAAGAGAATTGAAATGTACTTTTTTCTCTTTCCTCATATGTGGCAGATACTCACTTTCATTTGGATAATATTTAGCAAGTAGTCTTAAATGCATTACTGTCTGTCTTGCCTAGGGAGACTGTGGTCAATTCCACTTTGAAACTAATTCAGTTTCTTGTTTCAGATGACAATCGGTCAACGAAACATTCTTATGTATCAGATGAACATCAAGAACTGTGCTGACAGAAATTTTCAACCCCTCATCAGCGTCCTTGAAGGTAAAAGTCCCCGTCTACTCTCCAGCGATATGGTCTAGTGTTTTACGTAATCCACCCTTGTAACAGCTGGTCACATGTTAATACACCAACTACACAAATCTTTGAAAGATAACAATATCATAAACTGGAAGGGTTTCTGATTGCTTGAAAGGCCACAAGACACTTCGCTTTATAGCACTTGTTAAAATATCGTGAGATCGTGAGAAGCAGAAAGTGCAGGCAACTTCTAAAACTGAACTTTTTCAGCAGATTTCTTTAAAAAACTGAAATGCAAGTTTCTTGAAATGAATAGAAGCTGTAATAACGACGAAGAGCAAACACACTAAATACTGAAGATTCTGATATCAAGTTTAACTGTTGAGACGTCTGTAATTTTCTGTTTTTGATGCTGACGAAAAACAAAAACATGTACTTAATGACTGTTTTGACTGGAAATTCAATAAATGGAGGGTGGTCTCTGATCTCTGACGTTTGCAAAGTACTGAACATAATTATTTTAATCCTTCAGCTTTAAGAAACACAGACATTCATCTTATGGGCTGTGATATCACTGAATTGTTGGGAAACCTTGATCAAGAAGATGCAAGGTAAAACAAAAAAAACATAATAATGCATAACAATATTTCTGCAACAATGTCACGTTTTATACTTTTTGAGTCGTACCAACTTCTTTTCTTTAGAATGTACAGTGTGCAGACTGAAGATACAAAGGCTGATAGCGAGGAGCAAAGTACATCTGCTCTCTCTTATCAGAAGGTCTGGGAGAAATTCAGAGCTCAAAGCCCATCTGAAAGAGATCTCTTCCTCAATGGCTCATTCCCAGATGGATTCCAATGGGCAGCCTCCTCTGAGTCTTTCAAAGTGGAGGGTGGCTGGACTGAACATGGGAAAGGGGAGACTATCTGGGATCATTTTGGCCATGAAGGCAAAGTCTTTGATAATCAGACTGCTGATCTGGCATGTGATAGTTATCACAAGGTGGACTATGATGTGTACTTGCTCAGGGGCATGCTCTCCCCAATCTATCAGTTCTCCATTTCTTGGGCTCGCATTTTCCCAACTGGTCAGAAAGAAAGCCTGCTGGAACAAGGGGCACTGTATTATGAAAAGCTGATTGACACACTTCTGCAATCAGGAATAGAGCCTACAGTCACTTTACACCATTGGGATCTGCCACAAGCTCTACAGGACCATGGAGGTTGGACTAATGCCTCCATTGTGGAGGCATTCAAAGAGTTTGCTGACTTTTGCTTCTCTAGATACGGAGACAAAGTGAAGACCTGGAACACTTTTGGCAGTCCCTGGGTGGTCAGTAACTTTGGATATGGTACTGGGGAACATCCTCCAGGTATTAAGGACCCCAGTGTGGCTTCTTATCAGGTATGTTTCAAGATTGTTTCCATAACCTAAGAATATGTTATTAGCATTACATATTTTAATCTGCCTGTTTTGATCTCAGGTGACACACAACATAATAAAGGCCCATGCAGAGGCCTGGCATGTCTACAATGATAAATACAGGAAGAATCAGGGTGGGAAAGTGGGCATTGCTCTCAACTCAGACTGGGCTGAACCTAAGAACTCTGATAGTGCCCAGGACATAGAGGCTGCAGAGCGCTACCTGAACTCCATACTGGGATGGTTTGCTCACCCCATATTTGTAGATGGAGATTATCCAGCATTGCTGAAGAAACAGATTGATCTGAAGAAAACTGAATGTGGCAAAGACCTGGCTGTGCTCCCAGTCTTTACAGAAGAAGAGAAAAAGATGATCAAGGGCACGGCTGACTTCTTTGGGCTAAATCACCACACTTCTCGGCTTATCAGCGAGAGCCGGGGCAGCTGTGTCCCTGGACCAGACAGTGTTGGGGACTTTGAAAGTGATATTGACCCAACCTGGCCCACCACGGCGTCAAGCCAAATCCAGTCTGTACCATGGGGGCTTCGCCGTTTGCTGAATTATATTGCCGCAGAGTACACATCAGTGACCAACGTGCCCATTTACATCACTGGAAACGGAATGCCAACAGAGTACAACAGCGATGTGCTCAATGACACTCAGCGCGTAGGCTTCCTTAAGTCATACATCAATGAGGCAATGAAAGGTAATTATTAAGGTCAATAAGTTGTATATATTGAGTGACCATTAGGTATGGTCCTAACAAAAACCTTGATTACTAACATTTTAGGGTGCATTTTTATTTTAAATTGTTTTAATATATGTGGAATTGGTTTGCTGATGAAGGTCTATGCAAGTATCCTGTAAATGTTCTAATATGTTAAAGGGCCCATATCATATAGAATTTGCCTTTCCCCACTTTTTTATATAAAGGATGTTATATGTAGTATGTAAACATTGTTAACGTTTCAAAACGTGCCATTCGCTCCCCAGTCCCTACAGTGCATAAATGACAACTAAGTTGCAAAAACAGCCTGTTTTTAATTGAATGTTTTTGTGGTGTCACGAAAAACAACAAATTTACATACAATCATCTAAAAAAATTTTAGGTACACCTGGTCAAATTACATGTTTTAATGCTGTGAAAATAAGCTAAAAACAGAGAACACACTTCTGCAAATTTTAATGCACAACTACTATTTATTTGCTAAATTTTACATATTGAACAAAATAAAAACATAAAATGTGATCTGTGCAAAGGTTCTGATAAATTCTGCAAATAAATCAAAAGTGTGCACAAAAATTTGCTGAGAAATGACATATTTTAGTGTTTTGTCTGTAGATGATGTGTTAATTTCACTTAGAAAATGAGCAAAGCATGTCATTAATGCAGGGGTGTTCAAAATTTGCATTTGTATATCCACCTCTTCAGCTGACAGCAGTTTAACCCCACCCATTCACGCTGATGTTATTGGTAGTGTTTCAGCCTGGACTGCTTTTTGAATGTGGAACCACACATGCCAGCCAATCACAACAGACCTTATTTGCATATATCGGTCTTAAAGGCATAGTAACAAAACCAGCCTGTTTCATTCTACGCAATAGGAGCTGGAAATTATCATGTAAAAATGAAATATGGCTATTTTTGGAACAAAAGCCACACAAATGTCATTAAACAGACCTCAGGGGAAAAAACAAGAAAAATACAGGATTTGGGCCCTTTAACAAACTGTATTCAATCTCAACTAATTTGTTGAATCTGTTAATACAGCCATCCACTTGGACAGTGTTGCCGTCCAGAGGTTCACAGTGCAGTCCCTGTTAGATGGATTTGAGGGTCCTCAAGGCTACAGTCAAAGATTTGGACTGCATTTTGTGAATTTTGAGAATTCTGATACACCCAGAACCCCAAAAGCTTCAGCTTACTACTACTCTCGGGTCATTGAAAGAAATGGTTTTGAGGACAAAAAACCGACCTCTTTTAGTCAAATCTTTGGTAAAATGAAGGATGGTTCAAAGCTTCCCACTCTACCACCATCTGAAGTTCCCTCAAGATCAAAAGTTGTGTGGGAGAAATTTTCACCTCAATCCAAATTTCAGACAAAGTTTTATCACTATGGAACATTTCCAGATGATTTCCAATGGGGTGTTTCGTCCTCATCATATCAAATCGAAGGTGGCTGGGATGCTGATGGGAAAGGACCTAGTGTGTTTGACACTTTCACCCACACACCTGGTTCCATCCTAAACAATGACACTGGTGATGTGGCTTGTGACAGCTATAACAGATTTGAAGAAGATCTCTATATGTTAAGAGCCCTGAAAGTAAAAGCATATAGGTTCTCTTTATCCTGGCCCAGAATATTCCCCAATGGTTACAGAGATTCCTTAAACATGAAAGGAGTTGACTATTATAACAGACTCATAGATGGTCTTATAGCATATAATATTACACCAATGGTGACGCTTTACCACTGGGACCTTCCCCAAGCTCTTCAAGACATCAATGGCTGGGACAATGTCGATATAATTGACATATTCAACGACTACTGTGACTTCTGCTTCCAAACCTTTGGAGACAGAGTGAAGTTTTGGATGACTTTCAACGAACCCTATGTAATTGCATGGGTAGGCTATGGGCTGGGAGTACTACCCCCTAATGTCAAAAGTCCTGGAGATGCTCCTTATAGGGTAGCACATAACCTCTTAAAGGCTCATGCTAAAGCCTACCACACATATGATGATAAATACAGAAAAACACAACAAGGGTTGGTATCCATTAGTGTGAGCTCTGAGTGGTTTGAGCCACTAGATGTAAACGTACCCCGAGAGGTGGCAGCTGCTGACCGTGCGCTCCAGTTCCAACTTGGATGGTTTGCACATCCCATCTTTAAAAATGGAGACTATCCTGATGCAATGAAGTGGCAGGTAGGGAACAAGAGTGAACTTCAAGGTTTAGCTGAATCCAGGATGCCAACTTTTACCGAAGAGGAGAAAGCCTACATCCAAGGCACTGCCGACATCTTCTGCCTCAATACTTACACTACCAGAATGGCACGTCATGTAACTCGTTGGCTTTCCACACAGTCTTATGAATATGATCAGGATATTACAGTAGAAGATGTGGCAGACTCTCATGCTACTGCAATGAAAGAATTGAGGGCAGCAGCTTGGGGACTGAGAAGACTTCTCAACTGGATAAAAGAGGAGTATGGGAACCCTGAAATTTACATAACAGAGAATGGAGTCTCTACAGATACTAGCAAAACAGTAGACGACCCAGAAAGAATATTCTTCCTGAAGACCTACGTTGATGAAGCTCTAAAAGGTGCAGTGATGTTGTTATTTAGTTAATGTCTTTTTAAAAGCACCACATGAAAGTAATACATGTTGAATAATGAATGAATCTGATGTTGAAAGTGTTGTTTTTTTTTTTATTTTATTTTAGCTCACAACCTAGATGGAGTACGTCTGAAGGGCTACACAGCGTGGTCTCTCTTGGACTCTTTTGAGTGGCTTAATGGCTACAGTGTTGGCTTTGGACTCCACCATGTAGACTTCACCCACCCAGATCGGCCAAGAACTCCAAAACGCAGCGCTCACTTTTACCACCAAATAATGAGACAGAATGGTTTTCCATTGCCAGTGGAAGAGGAGCCAATTTATGGCCACTTTCCTGAAGGATTTGTGTGGAGTGTAGCTACAGCATCTTATCAGGTAAACTAGTATCCCCTCATATGATGTTCTTGTACTTGGAAGCCTCTTAATTATTCCTGTATTTTGTCATGTTCCCGACCTTAGATTGAAGGCGGCTGGAGAGCAGATGGGAAAGGTTTAAGCATCTGGGACACGTTTGCACACACAGGTCTTAAGATATCAAATGATGACACCGGGGACATTGCCTGTGATAGCTACAACAAAATCAGTGAGGATGTTGAAATGCTCAAAAAACTCAGGGTCAGCCACTATCGTTTCTCCATATCATGGCCAAGAATTCTGCCTGATGGAACTACAAGAGAAATCAACCAAGCAGGACTGAACTATTATCATCGGCTGGTGGATGCACTTCTGGCAGCTAACATCAAGCCTCAGGTGAACAAAACAATGCCTCCATTTTTGAACTACATAGTCACATATTTAATTTAAAGCATTAACTGGCCAGAACTCAAGCTAAATCTGTATTAACCTCTTAAAATCCCAGGCTTATTACATACTAAGGCTTATTATTCAGTAACTACTTCAATGTAAACTGGCTGAGCTATTCTTAGGTTATAGAAGTGTGTAATAAAACTTTGGGTCCCACTGATAGGCCCTGACCATTTAAGGGGTTAGGCTAAACTGGAATTTTATTGATTTTTCAAAAATTCTGCATAATTTAATAGTTGAAATATGGCCATTTTATATGCTATCCTAAACGACCAGTGAACCTACCCCTCTGAGTTCTTATATGTTGATAATAGCAAATTAGTCATAAATCTGAAAAAAAGGTTAAGGTACTATCTTGCTTTACATGACCTACATGTACCCCTCCACCAAGAATGAATTTTAAAACAGGTTTTAGGCCAAACCTTCTCAAAACTATCATAAAACTTTGTCCCAGGCATCAGGCAGCGTAATTCTTAAACATTTTGCATAATAACTGAGGCAATTTTTAGAGGCAGTAAACACAGATGTCTGGTTCCTGTCACCACCACTGTGAACAATTCTTATTCTGAACATTTCTGATTCTTATTTCTCTTAGAACTGAGAATTTTACAACAAACCACTCCAAATGACTATGTATACATCTTAACCATTCAGTCTTGCAGAAATTTTGAAAAATCAGTTCCCCTTCTACTTAATATATTGTCACTGTCAGGACAAACCTTGTATTTCCAAATTGGTAACTTTACATGAGAAAGAAAAGGCATACTTAATTCAATTTATTCATACTTTTTATTTTTTTATTTATATTTTCTATTGGTCCATTCATCCTGAAATGTTCACATAATATAAAGGGCGGATAACATTTTAAAATTATATATAAAAAGAAGACAAAAATGTTTTATCCCAAGAGTGACAGTGACAGTGAAGTATGGATATAAAAATTGATCTCACTATCATTTTTACCTATTTGGGTATTCAAATAAGTTATGTTTGGTTTAGAATAAAAATACAATTAAAATAAATAAAATTTTGTACAGTTTTTTACTGGGTATCCAGCATCGAACTACATAAATACAGAAATTGCATGTCATGTGAATTCTGCCCTCATTTATTCATAACAGTTTCAAATATTTTGAAAACTGTTACAGTGGGACAAAACATACTTAGTTGGCTGTCTGTATACTTGGGGTGGCGCCCAAGGAAATTATATGTGTGGGAAACACTTCCCTGGCTTTCGACCAGTCAAGTTGCATCACAGACTATGGGGTTTCATAATAATAAGCATTAGGATGTAACAAGACTGGGATTTTAGGGGTTTAACTGAATACTGATGTAACTTTAGATATGGATTTGTTTGACAAATCACTGGACAAAATGTTTGCTGGCCCAACTAATTTTGTAAATCTCATTACTTTGAAGCATGGTTTACTCTCTGTCTATAATTTTAAAAATGAAAAATGCAAAAATGGATGTTTTTTTCCATCTGCAAACAGGACAACTTGGTGCTGATGGTCCAAAAATGTTTGGCATGTATGATTTTTTCCTCTATTCCATACTAACAGGTAACCCTGTATCACTGGGATCTCCCTCAAGCATTGCAAAATGTTGGAGGCTGGGAGAATGACACAGTTGTTGAAAGGTTCAGGGACTATGCCGATGTTGTCTTTAGTAATCTGGGAGACAAAGTAAAGTTTTGGATCACTATTAACGAGCCCTACAATGTTGCAAACGTTGGACATGGGTACGGCGTCGCTGCACCAGGTACAGTAATGATTAAAAGTCTTAAAAAAATTATAAATACACATTGATTTGCGTGAAGATGTAAGTACAGGTGCTCCTCCTCTGTTCAGGCATAAGCTTCCGGCCTGGCACGGCACCCTATATCGTCGGCCACAACCTCATTAAGGCGCATGCTGAGGCTTGGCACTTGTATAATGACAAGTACCGTGCCAAACAGGGTGGTATTGTCGGTATTACCATAAACTCAGACTGGGCAGAGCCTAGAAACCCCTACAAACAAGAGGATATTGATGTGGCCAGGCGTGTTGTGGAAGTAAGAACTAGTTCTTCAGTTCGTATGACTCAATTGTATGAACCTGTCTGAAAATGAACTGTGATATCTTCTTTAAGCTCTCAACCTCTGAATAATGCAGTTCCAGATTGGCTGGTTTGCTCATCCTGTGTTTAATGGAGATTACAGCGATTTAATGAAGAACAGAATACGAGAAAGAAGCCTGGCTGCTGGTCGTCCCATATCACGGTAACCAAAATTTCACTTCTGTGACACAATCAAAAATATTAACTAAATATTACAACTATTGCCACCGAGGGCCTGCATCCAGGTCTGCAAGATTCAGATTTCATGCTAAACTAACTATTAATACGTCTTTGCAGTCTTCCGGAATTTACCCCAGAAGAGGTGAAAAGGATAAAAGGCACTTATGATTACTTCGGGTTCAATCATTACACGACAGTCTTGGCTTATAACCTAGATTACAAAAACCTCCAGAGCTATGACGCAGACAGGTAACAGTCTAATTACAGATTTATGATGATGGCCAAAAAGATGGAAATTATGAAATTTTCAGAAATGTTCAGAATTTGTCAGGAATTTTCAGAAATCTTTGGAAATTTTCAGAAATTTTCACTTGTACTTTTATCCTATAAAGGGGAGCGGGAACTGTTCATGACCGCTCATGGCTGGACTCTGGATCAGCATGGCTGAAAGTGACTCCACCTGGATTTAGAAAAATTCTGAACTTCATCAAGAATGAGTATGGAAACCCTCCCATTTATATCACTGAGAATGGCATCTCTGAAAAAGGAGATATGGACCTGAATGACATTCACAGAATTCACTACTATGAAAACTACATCAATCAGGCTCTCAAAGGTACAAATTCACTTCCATTCAAGAAACTGAACCAACTTTATGAAAAGTGTTCTAAAATAAAATATGCCATCACTCAAAAGTCACTATTTAAAAGTTTAGAATCACTGGTTCAATTATAATATAAGCAGTTTGTTGAGGGTATGTGTAATGAAATGATGCTATTAAGATGTTACTACTCTATAACTTTATAAGTTTGAAGCCGTAAAAATGAAGAAATGTTGTTTACAGTAATGAACAGAGAGGTCAAAAATAATGATAGAGGAATTTGTATAACATTGAGAATTTGAAAAGTGGTGATCAAATATTGAGGCAGATTATTACTTTAAATCATTATTTTGGTAATTATTTATTATTATTCAGAGGATTGCTATAAATAGATTATTATAACATATTACTTATCATTAAATAGCATATAGATGTTCTCAAAACCTTAAATTTATTAAAATACCTTCTGGTGTCTAGCTTCTAGTATATCAATCTACACTGTGATGATGATATATATATATATATATATATATATATATATATATATATATATATATATATATATATATATATAATCAAGTGATTCCAAACCTTTGAACAGTAGTGTAAGTGTGCGCAGCACAAGCTTTTATATTAATCTTTACTGGTTGAAGTGACACATAAATCACAATCATATGTTATTAGGTTGTAGTATTGCATTTTAATGACACTAAAGATGCTACTTTTTATCTTATAGCTTACTTGATTGACGGAGTGGACATACGTGGCTACACCGCTTGGACATTGATGGACAATCTGGAGTGGGCCGTTGGTTTTGCTGAGAAATTTGGCTTCTTCTATGTCAATCGTTCTGACCCATCTCTGCCACGTATACCCAAGAAATCAGCCACATATTACGCCACCGTGATCAACTGCAATGGCTTCCCAGACCCTCTCCAAGGACCCCATGAATGTCAGACTCTTGAACCTGAAGGTAAGTGCCATCAGAACATTTGCAATCTCCTTCAGTAAAGCTAACAAATCAACACTAACTGCTTTGTTTCTACAGGAACAGAATCTCCTCCCAGTCCTCCACCCTCTCCAGAGGTGGTGAATTTTCTGGGTTTGGAGGTGTCTCCTCCAGATGCTGAGGTGGCCCTCTATGTCCTCTTCAGTCTCACCATTGCAGGCGTGATCGCAGCTGCTCTCATCACCTACCAATTCATCAGAGTAAAAAAGAAATCAAAACGCCCCGTGGAGGAGCACATAAGCCTTGAGAAGAAGTTCTGATGAATCGTTTATATCTGTATTTTGTGTACACTAAGGCCAGGCTAGGCTAAGGTATCAACATTCACGACTTTTATTGCACTGAATTACTTCAATACTCCTGAGAACTGAAAAATTCTGACATTCAATGCATAAGTTATTTAATCTTATCAGCATTCATGTGCAAAAATGCGCGCTACACAGGCGAATGGCTGTCTTAATTACATTCTGTATGTGTGTTGTTAAAAGGAAAATTCTGGAGCTGTAAGACAAAGTAGCCCCCAAAGAAAATATATTTTTTTTAATTATCACTGTTTTACTATTATTAATATTACATATAAAAATGCAGAAGATATATTTGGATTGACTTATGGCTTGGGACAGTAAATAAAATGACTATATTTGCAACGACATTGTGACCCTTGGTTCTGGTCACTATTTTTGTAATTATTATAGTCAAAACATTTCTCTACTATGCACCATTTCACATGGAAAGATGTTTTTACATCTCAGCTACTGAACTGAACTATGCAGAATTTGTCCTTTAACTTTAGTATTTATTGATTAATCTGCAGTGTGTTGTGGTCTGTCAATATAACCCCCATACAGCATTTCAAGCCACACCCATGTTGGTCTGTAATTTAAAAACAGTATTTAAACATTTTTTTTTCTGGAATCAGTATTAAACTCGAGGTATTCGTATCCATATTGGTCTCAGTATAGACCATTTTGACCCGTACTCAGCCCTAGTCTCCACAGGAAATTTAGTGAAGTTTCAACATTGTATAGGAATGATTTAAACATGTGTATATATCAGCAAAATATACTGGACGTTGTTTCCTTCCATGACTGTTTGTTGTATTTGAATGCTTTTGTTGATTTAGCGATGTCCTGCCATTTGTTAGTCTTTTTAGTGTTTGTTAATCTGGCCATTGTAGATAAACCATGTACTCATTCAAACACTTCTCCTTTTAAAAGTACTCTTAAAGAGAAATTCCACAGATTCTTTTTCCAATTTCTGCGTAATTCAGTTGTTCAGTTGTAAACAAAGTAATTCAGAGTGGTTTGTTGTGAAATGCTCCATTCTTAAGAAATTAGACAAATCAGAATTGTTCACAGTGATCCTGATAGGAACCAGACATATGAAGTTTTAATGCTTCTAAAAGCTCCTTCACAGAGAGTTATTACATGAAATGGTTACGAATATACTGCCTGATGTTTGAAGCATTGTTTCATGATTTTGGCCTAAAACAGATTTTTTAAAATGTGTTTGTGGTGAATGGTACATGTGGCACATTCAAAGGCAAGATAGTTCCCAAAGAAAACTTAATTCTTTGGATTTACCACTATTTACCATTATCTACATTACAGATAAAAGCTTAAAAGACCCATGTAGGTTCACTGGTGGTTTTGGATAGCATATAAAATGACTAGACATTGTGACTCCTGGTTCCTATAACCAATGCTGTAAAGAACATGTGAGTTAGTAATTTTCTCTACAATGAACCAATTCACGTTAAATCACTCTGAATGACTTTGTTTATTTTTCAGTGAGTGAATTATACAGAAACCTGGGGAAATTGGAAAATTGGTGGAGTTCCCCTTTAAGAATAAATAAGCATATTCAATATTTTTTTCAATACTTAATTCTTCAACTATTACATTACTTATATATAAATATGAAGTCGCATAAGTGTGAAATTAAAATAGATCAAAACCAAGAGTTTTGTCTTGTGCTTTCAGGTTCTGACTTAATCTCTACCACTTACACATACATTCATGTAGAAATGTGTTAGCCATAACAATTTAACAGTTTGGTCAGATTTTTTTCTCAGTATACAACGCTGAATTCCACAGACAGTAAATAAAAGTCCATTTCCTATGGTGTCCAGTAGATGGAGATGTAAGACCATGGACTTTTGTTTGAGAGTCCTGTCCCCCTCACACTATATCACAATGACGTATACTTGAAAGTGCTACACTGATATACTGAGAAAAAAATGAATGGTAACTACAATATCAGTGCAATCTGAGTTACTCTGAGCTTTCAGACTTGGGCAGCTTGGGACCTCAACCTTCTTTTAGAGAAGATTTTCTCATCAGTGTTCCACAGGTGGCTCATACTTGCCTGAAGCCAGAATGATTTTGCAGATTTTTCCCTTACATTCTTAATTTGTCTTATAAACAGCACAAAACCGGTTCCAGGTTCAAACCAGACCTTAAACTTCAATGTGGTTGTGGATGTGGCAAAATTATAATGTAACTGTGACGGGTTTACTATACCTTCTCTCCAATGCAGATTCCTATGTAATTTTATGTATTGCCATTATTTTAGTTAGCAGACAAATTGCTTTCAGTGCAGCACATGGTACCCCAGACTGTTATGCTATGTTCCATGTTATCAACAAAAGTGAAATGAATAATTTGCAGTAAACTACAATGCTAAGAAGTCTGATTTTCCACCATCAAAATACATGTAAAATGTCACCATGAACCCCTAGAATGGAGCTGCTTTATAACTGGAAAATATAAGGCACAGTGCTGAATCTCAGTCTTATTATTCTCTAGAGTCTATCAGACCAATCAATGATGTCTGTTTGTTCCTGCTCCAACCACCAGTCATGCTCTCTCAATGTGAGTGTGTGGGCTAATCTTAGACAGTCAAAATCAGTGTGGTCAGTGATGCATTGCAAACCGCTCCACCAGATTCCTATGACGAGTCTGCAACCCCATGCTCCATACCAGGTGGTCAATCTGTCTGGAGCATTTATAGCACAAATTCAAGCGTCAGCAATGCTGCATTGGCAGCTTTAACATCACATGCATGCAAGCTCCATAAAAATGGCCTCGCTGTCCATGATGACTGATGTGGTGAACCAAACTGAAGTAAAATAAGAACAAACTTGGCTTAAAATGATTCCATGTAACATATCATGTAAGATAATGAATGCAGGCCTTATTGTGGTTCACTATCCATCAGATGAGGAGGCAACTGGGATACATCTATAGTCCATATCTCAGCTCCTTACCATTAAGATACATGAATACACACTGAAATTTCCTGCCTTAGGCATGTTTCTTTGCCTGTCAGTTTTGCTGCATGTGCAATCATGACTGCAATGCTGCTCTCCTGCCGCTCGCAGCAGCATCAGGTTCAACACAGCTTCAATAGCAGGCCTTTCATTATAGAACAACCTTCAGTCTGATAGATAGGAGAAAGTGCTTCATGCAGTAAATGCAGTTTTTAAAGGAAAGAGGCAAAACAACCTGAAACTGTTGATTAGCATGTAGCAATTATGCTAACTAGCGCACTAGCTATTATAGCCAAAGATATAGTTGTCAGCAAATCTGGCTGAGGTTATGTTACAGATCACACTCCTTTAAAACAGGGGTGCACAACTCTGGTCCTGGAGGACTGGTGTCCAGTACAGTTTGGAGGTTTCCCTATTTAAACACACCCAGTTAACCTGGCAATTAACAGATAAGTGTAATCAGGTGTGTTGGAGCAGGTACATCACCTGGACATTGGCCCTCCAGGACTGGAGTTGTGCACCCCTGCTTTAAAACTTACTAAAGTGTAAGCTGGATTGGTTACTAACCATATGTTTCAAGTTGTTCTGCCTCTGTCCTTTGGCACATCAGTTCTGTCCTTCAGACTGAAGGTTTTCCTATGATGAAAGGCTCATATTTGAAGCCACGTTAAAAGCTGACATGTTTTTATTTGGGGTTTACTTTTGTAAAGGGTACTATTTGCAGTTAATAACAAGACTAAACTATAATTCTGTACTAGAGACTCAAGACACGCACTTGCTCAAGACTCAACTAGGACCCCAGGGACAGGGGACTTGACTAAGACTTTTGGCTTGTGAACATCTCTGGTTAACATAAGATCTACAATTAAATAACTAAATAATTAAATATCTACATGTTGGCCTGTATGTATTATGTACCATTACGCCTTTTTCACTTTAGTGATTCTGTGTTGTGTCCATTTTTTCTCCCATTCTTAATGGATTGCGTATGTGTTTGGTTTTGGAATCCTGAGCATTGTTTTACAATGACTTTTGAGGTAAGTGTTTCATTAGAGTTCCTCCTCCCAGTTAACTCTCCTGATAGCACACGCTTCTCACAGCCACTTGCAGCACTTATAGCTCTGGTATCTGTATCAACCAATGCTAGGATGCTCTGCTTGTGGCATGTTTTCCCCATCTCTACAGCGCTGGATATCTGACACAATCCCTTTCCAGGAAAGAGCCTCAGCTCTTCCCACTTGAAACGCAAGAGCATGAAAACATTATTGTAAAAGAATGGCGTGGGGTGGGACGTGGAATCGGAGCTCCAAACTGGAGGGGGAATATTTTCACTTCAATAATCTGAACATGATACAGGAAGAATGCTGCCAGCTGGAGGCTGGCCTGGCTGAAAGAGCAGCCAGCGCAGAGACGTGCGAGGAGAGTCTTCTAAAAACAATCAGATATTTTCTGAGGATCTCGGTAGAGGGTCAGAAGCTTAAATGATTTCATTTGTATGGAACGGATGGCAACATATTCGACGATAGGCCCTCGGTGCGTTATCAGTGCAAAAATGCTGTCCTGGAGAAACAGCCGTGTCATGTTTGGAATTGTTATTGTATGATATGTGATTGTTTTCTTGATGTCTGAACCTTCCTTGATGTATCTGTATTAGTTTATAACTTAAACAACAGAAAAGCAAAGTTGTCTTTCCTTCCTTGACTTTTTTCTTCTTTATTTTCTCAAAAAACAGTCCATCAACACCCAAGCTCTTGCTGTGCTTGCCTTACATACCAAGGCCCCAGATCACTGTATGAATTATACATGATCTCTGATTACCACTACCGCCATAGCATTACTTACACTGATTAAGAATCCCGCAGGAAAGGTCTTCAGAGGCTCTCTCGTGTGGATTTTTTTAGATCCTACACATCATTTTTGTGGCTGTGAGATTGCAAATGCTTGTCCTTGGCCACCAAAACTCTCCATTGATCAAGCGCAGAGCTAATCACTGCAAGGCAGCTCGCATTCTTAGGTCCTCCTTCACGTTTGTCCTATCACTTTTCAAACAGGAGATAGAAGCGCATTCAATCTAGGAAAATAGCTGTCATTACATTAAATATTTGTTTTTGTCCAAAGCAGCTTGGAAGATCCGGGCTTGTAAATGTTAGTTAGGGAGTTGTTGTGTCTGGTGCCCGTAGCAACCTTGGATGGAAGAATCCAGATTGGTGAGCATGGTGCTGTGTAAAGTTTTACAGACTCATTAGCAAGGTGTGCAGCCCAGTGGGGGAGAACAGAAAGGGTCAACCACACTTGCCACTAAATGCACTGACCAGAGATGAATGATTATGTTAATGATGTTTTATTCTTTATCACTTTTGGCAGTTTGGAGATATCAAAGA